TTACCCACTAATAATATTACCAGTGATAGTATTATATACTGTGATAGCAAGATTGTGATACTATCAAGGTTTTTGAATACTGTGTTCAGGATTTCGAATGCAGTAGCAAAGCCGCGGATAAACTGGTGGCCAGATGTCGGATGGCTCGAGCTTATGGTGCTCATGTGAGCGGATGGAGCGGCACAGGTTGTGGCGCTGATTGACGACATTCGACCGGTGTTCCTCGGTGATAATCTCGTCTACCATGCCTTCTCATCATCCGGTGCCAGTGTGGAATTCCTGCGATGATTTTGGGAAATCACAAAATAAATCATTTTTGTAGAACATTTCGATTCTAGTATACGCAACCGAACTACCGCTATTAGTCACAGCCAGAACATCTCTTCGGGTGTGGGTCAGGAGATGCTGATTGCCGCTGCTCTACGGTGGCGGCGGACACACTTCTATAACCTAGCACACAGATTGTTTATTGTTTATTTATGTGTCGTGCTTAAGGCAAACGCAAGAAAACACGATGTTATACAACCCGCGACTATAACTAACAAGCGTTCAACAGAAGCCAAAATTTACTGAAAATTCAAACAATTCTTTCTTACTCACAGTTAGCCGCTTGAAAAGCCGGAAGGGTGGAGACGCTATAACTGCTGTAGACGTGCATTGAGACCCTGCAGGGCAAATAAAGCTATGAGGTGCAGAGTTCTCGAACGTTTTCTAGTGTATTGCCCAAATATTAGGGGCAGCGCCATACCCAACCTCTACAATACTTTCGGTCCATGAAGTTCTTTGCAGAACAGAGATCTATCTGTACGAGAAAACGAAGTACCAAAATCGACCATTCATCAGAGGATAAATAAAGGATAAAGGATAAAGCATTTGCCGTTGATCAATCCCTTTTTGGGATGCGGCACGCATTCTACTTCCATTTGTACATTCGTAGTGGCGTTTGAATGCGATGTGGCCTATACAATGACTTGCGGGGGCCAGCCGATTTGATCCCCGGACCGCTCGCGTGGTAAGCGTGCCACTTGCCACTACACCACATACGCCCTTATCAGATGGTATTCTCGACAAAATAAACAAATGAACAAATAAAACTGCAGATTCTAGATTGTAAGTGGCGTAATCAATTATCCACTGGCATCACTCGGAAATGATCTCCAGCATTTTCTGAAAACATTTTCATGATAGAAACTGGCGTTCAAATTTCTATGGCTAGTTGAAGGCTCAAATTACATGTTATCAGTTGTTTCTAGCTCTGGATGTCTTCTCGATTCTTCCCGACCTGATAACTACTAGTATTAAAATCCTGAAAATTCATACCTCCAGAGAATGGAATCTGAGTCCTCTAAAGTGGCATAGGTTTTGAGATCACCGTCTACATTTGAGTATAGCAGTAACGACTTACGTGACAGTTGATAATAGAGTCCCGATGTTTACTTTAGGTCTCGTGTTTTGAGTGTTCCGTCAGAAATAGCACGACACATGGTGCAGTTACCCTTTTCAATCGACCAACTTTATATTACGTAGACGTTTCTTATACATAGCCTTAAAAAATTCAAAACCTTAAGTGCGACTTTTGTGACTCAACAGCACACGTGGTTAATAATGATTCCGTCGCCTAATCGGCGATTTTGCCTTCTTCAGACCCTCAAAAGGTGGAGACAAATTCACGATTTACTCGACCATCTATCCGACGAGACCTTCGAGACCAGCTAAGCCATTGAATAATTAGTAGGCAGGTAAGGTACCGGATCTTTCAAATCAGCGGAATCATCCCGAAAGAATGACAGTTTAGGAGATAGCAGACTCATCAGAGTTATGTGGGCCAGCTGGAAGGCTAACCCTACCTAGCGGGTCAGTTACCGCGTTATGCGCACGCATTCTCTCCTCTGGTTCTTTTTAGATTCCTGGCATGGATAAAAATCTATAGCTGACGAATCCATTCGAAGTCTCTAGTCGCTTCACATGCTTACACCGTTGAAGAGAAACTCGTAGATCGGGCTAGATCATCCTATTGTCGCCTCCTCGCCACTGCAGTTGTTCCATACTGAAGGGGTGGCTCAACAGTCAGTGACAGAATCTTCCAATTTCACCGTGTTCAACACAGGTGAATTAGCCGCTTGTTATACGAAACAGAACACCTCGCAACTGGTTTATCAGTATTTTCCTGTGCGAACAGTAGTGTGTGGTCCGGCGCTAGAGGGTTATCATGAGTCGCCCTTCGGGGTATTTCCCTCTGGCCAACAACTCGACCCGCTCATTTTTGGCTTGTAGTGTTCCGCTTTTACAGCACTTGGTATTGGCATTTTGGGTACGAAAATAATCCTTTCGTTCCGCCATTGTTTTAGCGTGTCAACGGAAGTGGCAAAGATAAGCTCGTATAAGACAAAACGGATGGGTCAGCCATACACGAATGGTCGCGATGGCAATTTCGAATGGGAGTTCCGCTCGGATCAATCAAGCCTTCCATTCTTCCAAGGTCAAATGATTGACTCGTTTGCATAGATTAAGAGGCGACTTCTAAATTCTAAGTCACCGCATCTTTTATCTTCTCATTCAAAGACCGTTACATTTTCTAAAGGAATTTGAAGGCGCGTGGTGGAGCCAAGTGCTCCTGAATTGACGAACAATTGGCTCTTTACGCCCATCTATCCCTTACAGAGATGAAAGGAACTCTTCTCAGCTCATAATGGAACTCTTGTTAAAGCTCTGAGAAGAGCTCCTTTGAATCTTCGTATGAGAGAGCATAATGAACATAGGCATAATGAGCTCAATGTAAGTCAGTTCGGGTGCGCTCAAACTCACCACGCGACCGCATTCGTTTATGACTGCCCGCTGTATATCCTGATCGGTTGCGCCCACGCACGCCGATTTTACGAGGGAATGTTTGAGATTTGGAATCTATACACACGATTATAGGAACGGTTATGGATTAGTGCCTCCTCCTGTGTTTCAGTGTGTCCATCAAAGGCCATAGGCATTCTGTACTTCCCATGCATGTGGTTTCAGAAAAGCAGCTTCAACTGGCTCAGAGCGGCGAATCCGATCCTGCTGATCGTGTGCACGTGAAATTGTGATTTCACGTGGGCGTTTCTCTTGGGACGACGACAGAGGCACCTACATTTCTTCATGGTCGCCTTTCAGTCAGGTGGGGCGATTGCACGATTATTTACTTGCCTTCGGAGAATGAAAGGCCGTTTTGCAATTTGAATGTGCGTAAGTGCGTAAGGCAATGAGACCCGACACTCGGCAGAAGAAAGAGATAGCACCAGAGCGATGAGGTGGGATACGACACACTGTGGATGACAAGAGGTGCGAAGCGCCTCGATAGCAGTCGTTCTAGATTTTTACGTCTGATAAGCCCCAATGCCCTAGTTCGCGCATTTTGCAAGCCCCGAGAGAACAGGTCAGCAGCCAACTATTAGTTGGACAGTCTTTATTTTGCCCGATCAAGGGATTTTGATCCACCTTAATGATCAAGAGTCTGTGTATCCAGTTCAAGTCTACTCCAATTTGGAGGATGGGATAGGGAGGGGGGGGGGAGAAGGATATTCTGGTGCAGCGGTTCGGACGGACTACAGTAAGCCCAGTTCTAAAGCGAGGCGCTCCGGGTCAATGATCTGAATTTCCTGAGCTAAAAGTAACCTATGCAAATATTGTTTCCCCAAACGTTTACAATGAAGGAAGGTGCTCGTCGTAATTTTGAAACGCCTTCGGTGCTATGCGTCAATATGCCCCCTTCTTACTGGTATAGACCACTTGGTCCTGCTTATGTCACAATTTGCACTCATTAAGCGTTCCCAGATCTAAATACGTTACGTAGGAATGGTTCCCATCACCATCTCCGTGACATCTATCCTACGACATGACAAAGCAACAGAGGCAAAGCATGCTGTTTAGTGTTTCTACTCGCAACGTCGTCATTATCAGCTGATTGTTAGAGCAAAATTTTGAAAAAGTTATTCGTTCAAAGTTTAAGGTTTATGGGATTATTTTGATTCTGTTGAAATCTTGAGAAGTTTGAGTACTTCAACACTGATCCTCTGGATGCGGAATTTTGCTCTGTCATAACACAAATGTGTACTGCCGCATCGATTTTTCATCGGTTCTTCTTTCACCATGTTAAGAACATTGATGCTTTTTTTCGTTGCCGCTATCGTCTTCACTGACAAATCGTTGGACTAGGTGCTATGGTGTCCTGAGCCCCATAGAGGAGAGCATGGAGTTGAGCCTTTAATCCTCAAAAAATTGGGCTTTGGAGGGTTCCTTTCATTGAAAGCTTTGGACTTACTGCTGAGTCCTTCGAATCCTTTTGCGTCCTTATCTTGATTGCTTTTTGTTATTTGTTGAGTCATCTCTGAAATAGCACATGCGAGTTTCTTGAAATATGTCTTCCTTTTCTTTGGAAACATTACACAATTTCACGGTTTTCTATGAACTTGTAGTTTCGATTTGGTGTTCCCATGTAGATGGGGTGTGACGTTTTGGATCGATCAGTGGCACTCAATATATTCTGGATGAGGAAGTATGCTTGTCATGGGATCTAAACCTTCTGGTTGTAGTATTTCTTTTGGATGGGATTAACCTCATCCCACGCAAATTATTTCTGGGCCTCTCTCAAAAAGCTTGACTTGTTGCTCATTTGAGCAAATCATTAAGCTATTTGAATTCGCGAAGTTTGTCAAAACTGTCCATACAAACTTGTTTTTGATTGTATTGTTCACAACCCAGCTTTCTTGTAAAACTGTCCCGAGTACAATGGCGTTCTAAGAGCACAAGCATTTAGTTAAGTCTACTTCTGCGTTGCTGCGTCAATCATATAAGTATGTTCTGCTCCATAGCTGTTTATTTTTGTAGCAACTTGTTGGTTTTCATGCTGCTATTGTTAAAACAACAGTGATGTAAGTGGGACTATCCGTAACGAAACTTCAGTCCTTTATTTTCCCATTACTGCGTAAAAAGAAGCGGTCTGGTTTTGGTTTGTTTTCTGTCGTAAATGTCTGCAAATTATTTTACGTCTTCTTTTCATACATATTCCCGACGTAGCGAGGAGTATCACCGGAATTGATTTTTCATTTTCATCAATATTTTCATCCAGCAAAAGGAGGGAAGTATAGTTGTCAATCAGTGTTGCTTAATTTGTTTGCTTTATGAGCTTCATTAAGATTTAAACTTCTTTGGATGTTTATGCATGTAGGTTCCGTTGCACGTTTTTCATGAAGAAGCGTCATTTTTTCACGCAGAAGTTTCGTTTTCTGGCGAACGTTTATTAAAACTTAGAACGAAACGATGAAATCACGATTTCAGGAGATGCGCACCAACAGCTCGTCGTCTTTTGCGTCGGCGACTGCACTCGATGAAATGGGGACCGCCTCGTCATCTGTGTCAACGATGCAATCTGACAATCCTGATTATATGCGAACATTGCGTCAATTCGGTCGCTATTTCTCCACACGACTAGTGCAGGTAAAGCAGTGACTTGACAGTTTTCTGCTTCACTTATGAGATCACAATGTTTGAGAAAGTTATGTTAAATTAGAAAAGCCTTCAGTGAAAGTCTGAATCAGAAAGTGCTTGAACTTTTCAGCTCTAAGAAAACTGCATCTTATTGTAAACCTCCCGAGTGTTGAGATAATTCAAACCCAGCACCACCCAATCACGGTTGATTGTGTCTGCCGCAGCTTCGAAATCAACAGCAGTTCCCAAAAGCCCTTGGAAAGGGAAAGGAAATATGTCACGTACCTTCGTGAAATTTTCTTTATAGAGCTTAACCATGGCAAACGTGACTTTCGCTAATTTACCTCTCACAGGTCTTTGACAGTTTTTGTCTATTTTCCTGGCAAGCGAACCATGTGGCACCAATAATTACACATTTCATGTGGTAACTTACAACGTAATGGCTTGAAAAAGCTCCTGTGAGATCTTGGTAGCTAGCCACATTTGTTCAGTGCAGTAATGGAGAGATTAAGTCTGAAGGAGATCTCGTGTTACATGCCTTTGCAACTGACAAATAGTCGTGCCTATCTTGATGACTGAATAGTGGTGCATTTTTGGGCGGACCAACGGAAGTGTAATCTTTTTTTCTGTTTTCTCGGTTCTCTGGAATGGCATTTTTTCGGAATTATGATTAACAGATCTTCTGCGTCGATGCTTTGAGATCGGGAGGCTCGTGATTAGACCACGTGCCGAATAATTGGATGCGGCGGCTAAGTGTTTGTAGTGTAATAGACGATGGCAGCTGTGAAGCTTCTAGACTACCTAAAGGTCTGGTAAAGTGCAGTGTGAAATTTCGCGCTTTTATTCCAATTCCTGTTATCCGAAACGAAAGATTGCACTTTTCATGTAATAGTCATGTTGGATTCTCCTAGGTGTTTTCAGTTTTCTCCACTGTGCTAATGCTCAAATGTGTTGCTAGATTTCTGTACCAATTTTATTATCCACTAATTCGTGACATAGGCAGTACTTTACTGAGTGTGTTTTCTAAAGTGTTATATGATGTAAAGCACCTTGTCCACTACGCAATGCATCAATATATGAGAGCTCTAGCGATTGCTGGTTGCTACACTGATGCGGCCGAAAGATCACTAGTTGAAATCTATGTGATGTCAGGAAATGTGGGATTCACGTGCTTATCATATTGTTTGGTTAGCTGCAAGATTGAGTTTTTCAATGGGAAATGAGAAGAACAATGTTCATGTCTATTTTAAAGTAAAAACGGCGAAGAAGAGCGGCGAGTTTTCCAGGCGTGAAGAGAGGCGGTTTAATCAGATCTTAGAATTCACATAAGCGTTCAATTGATTTTCAAAATTTCTTCAATTAGGTTACATAGAGGTTATTTACCGTTGTGCTGATTCTGCTGTCCAATCGAAATCAATACTTGTAGGTGGTAGTGCAATCCCGGACGAATGAGAAGTTTGATCTTGAGTGCACGCTGCCGTCAAGTAGTCCGGATTGGTTCAATCTCCGAATTGATGAGCTCGGTGAAGTCTCTGCTCAGGTGAAGCGCAGCATTTGCAGGTAATACATTATTAATGTCTATTCTTCTTAATGTTTTCAAAATATTTGGGGTAAATGAAGTTATAGAAATCAGAAATAAAGAAAAATCTTGATCAGTTCAACGTTTTAAGCTTTCCTCCGGTGGCGAAGTGCATGTCTATTGATTTTATGCTGTATACTTGCGATGGTGAAGTATTGCCCATGGAGACGTGGTATGTGAAGCACTTTTTTATGCAGTTTTTTTTCGTATTGTTCTCTGCCAGTGCTGTGCTGTTGTTTTGACCTACACGCTCTAAATCAAATGCATCCAAAATGTCCGTTCAACAGACTTTATCAGATAAACAGCAGTGCTGTCGCTTTATTTTTAGCGGTGATTGATATATGACTGCATTTTATGACAGTAAGGGTTCTCATTACGTGGTGACATAGTTTAGATCAAAGAACAGCGCTGAAGTCATCAAAAGGAACAAAAACTAAAATTTAGGTCCAGCAGTTTTTGTTTGGGAGTATTTGCATGATTGAATGAATCGTTCTGGAAGGATTCGAAAAGGGGTTGCGCTAAATATTTTGTAAGTCACTCTTGAAACGTCGTTCATCAGGAAACGCATAGGGGCTAGAGGCATTCGCGACGAGCAAACAGTGGCTGTATTCTGAGAGAAGAAGGACTTATTGTGAGGTTTAAGCATCCCGTTTATTGTTAAAGAATTTATTAAGGGCTTTTTCAATCGACGAAGAGGAACAACGGACCATATGGGCAGATGACATCAAATCCCAATTATATCTACAGCTTAGTGTGATGCTTCGAAGTGCTATGGTAGCCGCAAGGATGACACCATTGCATAGGTTGGCCCACTTTTGAAGTGCAACCTTTTGAGCGGATACTCAACTATCGTCGTTTTAACTCTTGTTTTCGTAATTTATTATATTAGGGAGCGGTCAAGGGAGAATCGATCACTTGCAAAGTGGTGAATATCATTAACGGGTCCAGAGATAGTTGGCTTTTCGACTTGGCCGAACACTTTTGCGAACTTATTTGTGTGGAACTATTTTGATTCGTCATAGTCCGAAATGGGAGAGTGTAGCTACGTAAGCGGGTTCGTAGATTCGATAAGGAGTAGATCTGTACGAGGTCAATTCTGGCAATGGGCCACCATGGGCTAACTATGAGGTCGTCAGAAGCTTTCAAATTCTTTATTTTTAGATCGATTTTAAAGCATTACTTCAACTTTTCATTTTTAACCTTGGGGAAGGCGTCTTTCACTCGATCTATCCATAGCTAAGTGAACTCCATAGCACCTGTTCAACTTTTTGAAAACCCTGGATACATAT